ATCTGTAATGTTTAGTACTTTGTTTGCAAAGTCCTACATAACTCTTTGATCATGAGTTTAACAATATTCTTCTGAATATCTTTCTTCCATTGGTTCTAAATTTGGGGGTTTGACACTTGGGGCTTTAATCTTTTACTCCATTTGGAGTTTATTTGTGTGTGTAGTATGAAGCTTAAATTTAGTTTTATTTCCCTATAAGGAAAGTCAATGATTCCAACACCGTTTGTTGAACAGAACAATATTTCCCCTCTGATTTTAATGTTTTCTTGAACACATAAGTTTCTACTTATGCTTAGATCTATTTCTGGGCTTCCTTTATGTTGAGACCAGTCTGACCAACATGGAGAAACCCCATCTCTACTACAAAACACAAAAAAGTTATCCAGGTGATCTATTTTTCTAAATTTGCCCTACCATCTATCACTCTGCTTAATTACCATATACATATATATATATGTATTTTTTTTTTTCTTTTTGAGACAGAGTCTCACTCTGTCACGCAGACTGGAGTGCAATGGTGTGATGTTGGCTCATTGCAACCTCTACCTCCCATGTTCAAGCAATTCTCCTGACTCAGCCTCCTGTGTATCTGGGACTACAGGCACACACCACCATGCCTGGCTACTCTTTTGTATATTTGTAGAGATAGTGTTTCACAGTGTTGCCCAGGCTGGTCTCGAACTCCTGAGCTCAGGCAATCCACCTGCCTCAGCCTCCCAAAGTGCTAGGATTATAGGCGTGAGCCACCGCACCTGGCCTAATTACTATAATTTTTTTAAGTCTTCATATATACTAAGGAAAATCCCTCTTCTCTCTTCTTTAGACATGTTTTGGTTATTCTTTTTTGCAAAGAGATAGGGTCTTGCTGGATGTGGTGGCTCACACCTGTAATCCCAGCACTTTGGGAGGCTGAGGTGGGATCACTTGAGCCCAGGATTTCGAGACTAGCCTGGGCAACATAGGGAGACTCCATCCTACCAAAAATTCAAAAATTAGCTGGGCATGTTGGCATGTACCTGTAGTCCCAGCTCCTCAGGAGGCTAAGGCAGGAGGATCACTTGAGCCTCACAGGTAGAGGCTGCAATGAGCTATGATCGTGCTACTGCACTCCAGCCTGGGTGACGGAGTGTGACCTTGTTGCAGAAAAAAAAAAAAGACAAGGTGTCACTCTGTCACTCAGGGTGGAATGCAGTGGTGTGATAATGGCTCACTGCAGTCTCGAACTACTGGGCTCAGGAGATCCTCCCACCCAAGCCTCCCAAGTAGCTGGGACTACAGGCACATGCCATCACAGCTGACAACTTTTTTTTTTTTTGTAGAGATTAGGTCTCGATATGCTGTTCCAGCTGCTCTGGAACTCCTGGCCTCAAGCAGTCCTCCTGCATCTGTCTCCCAAAGTGCTGGAATTATAGGCATGAGCTACCATGCCTTTCCAAGAGCAATTAAATCAAGAAAAATAAAATACCAATATCTTACACATGTACACAAAACAAAAAAACTCTGGTACATAAAAAAAGTTATGACTAAAGTAATAGACCAATTGGAACAATTCAGTAGAAAGTAGGAGGCAGTCATGTGCTATAAAGTGATTTAGCAACCAACTCTTGTAAGGAAGGAGGAAATCCCTGATTTGTAGAGTCTGCCAATTTCTTTAGCATAAATACCCGCAATATGGCTGATTCCAAGCTACCAACATGATAACACTGAATATGGAGTTGGGAAAAAAAATGTTAAGTTGGACTTTATTAAAATATAAAATTTCAGGCCGGATCCAGTGGCTCATGCCTGTAATCCCAGCACTTTGGCAGGCCAAAGTGGGCAGATCGCAAGGTCAGGAGATCAAGACTATCCTGGTCAACATGGTGAAACCCCATCTCTACTAAAAATACAAAAATTAGCTGGGCATGGTGGTGCGTGCCGGTAGTCCCAGCTGCTCTGCCAAGGAGGCTGAGGCAGGAGAATTGCTTGAACCTAGGAGGCAGAGGTTGCAGTGAGCCGAGATTGGGCCACTGCACTCCAGCCTGGCAACAGAGCAAGACTTTGTCTCAAAAAA